GTTAAACAATAGGATACCAATGGAAATTTATTAAATATTTTGGATGTTTTTCTACATTTTCATATATATTGTATTCTGTGTTGTAATTGAAATCAGTGTATATTATTTTTGATTATAAATATTTGCACTGTAAAAATGATAAACAAAAGAAATAGTATTTTTCAATTTACCTCATGCAAGTACTGTAGTGCAATCTCTTAGTCGTGAAGGTGCAACTTACAAATGTAGTTTTTTTTGGTTACATAACTGCACTCAAAAACAAAACAATGTAAAACTTCAGAGCCTACAAGTCCACTCAGTCCTATTTCTTGTTCAGCCAATCGCTAAGACAAACAAGTTTCCTTACATTTACGGGAGATAATGCTGCCCTCTTCTTATTTACAATGATACCAGAAAGTGAGAACAAGCATTTGCATGGCACTTTTGTAGCCGGCATTGCAAGGTATTTATGTGCCAGATATGCTAAACATTCATATGCCCCTTCATGCTTCGGCCACCATTCCATAGGACATGCTTCCATGCTGACGACGCTCGTTAAAAAAATATTACAATAATTAAATTTGTGACTGAACTCCTTGGGGGAGAATTGTACGTCCCCTGCTCTGTTTTACCTGCATTCTGCCATATATTTCGTGTTATAGCAGTCTCGCATGATGACCCAGCACATGTTCATTTTAAGAACACTTTCATTGCAGATTTGACAAAACACAAAGAAGGTACCAATGTGAGATTTCTAAAGATAGCTACAGCACTTGACCCAAGGTTTAAGAATCTGAAATGACTTCCAAAATCTGAGAGGGATGAGGTGTGGAACATGCTTTCAGAAGTCTTAAAAGAGCAACACTCCAACGCGGAAACTACAGAACCCAAACCACCGAAAGAGAAAATCAACCTTCTGCTGGTGGCATCTGACTTAGATAATGAAAATGAACATGTGTCGGTCTGCACTGCTTTGGATTGTCATTGAACAGAACCCATCATCAGCATGGACGCATGTCCTCTGGAATGGTGGTTGAAGCATGAAGGGACATATGAATGCATCTGGCACGTAAATATCTTGCGACACCGGCTACAACAGTGCCATGTGAACGCCTGTTTTCACTTTCAGGTGACATTGTAAATAAGAAGCAGGCAGCATTATCTCCTGCAAACGTAACCAAACTTGTTGGTCTGAGTGATTGGCTGAACAAGAAGTAGGCCTGAGTGGACTTGCAGACTCTAAAATTTTACAGTGTTTATTTTTGAATGCAGGTTTTTATGTACGTCATTCTACATTTGTAAGTTCAACTTTCATGATAAAGAGATTGCATGACAGTACTTGTATTAGGTGAATTGAAAAATACCAGTTCTTTTGTTTTTTACAGTGCAAATACTTGTAATCAAAAATAAATATAAAGTGAGCACTGTACATGTTGTATTCTGTGTTGTAATTGAAATCAATATATTTGAAAATGTAGAAAACATCCAAAAATATTAAAATAAATAGTATTCTATTATTGTTTGACAGTGCAATTAATCACCATTCATTTTTTAATTGCACGATTAATTGCGATTAATTTTTTAAATCGCTTGACAGCCCTACTTTGCATTTATCACCATTGAATTTCGTCTGCCATTTTGTCGTAAGCCAGTTCAGTGAGTTCCCTTTGTAACTTTTCACAGTCAACTTTGGACTTAACTATCTTGATTAAATTTGCATCATCTGCAAATTTCGCCACCTCACTGTTCACCCTTTTTATGAATATGTTGAACAGCAAAGGTCTCAGTACAGAGCTCTGGGGGACTCCACTATTTACCTCCCATCTGTGTTGCAGGTCTGGGCTGGGGGAGGGCTGCCTGGGCCACGCCACTCCGGCTGCCCCTGGGGCCGGCCTGGGCTGCGCTGCCTTGGCTGGGTCCGGGCCACTCCAGGGTCGGTCCGGGCTGCACTGTGCCTGGGGCCAGCCTGGGCTGCGCCTGGAGCTGCACGTGGGCCTGATCCAGCCGTGGCTGGGCCTCATCCGGCCAGAGCTGGGTCCATGTGCTCCGGCTGCGCCACCCTGACCCACCGGGCGAGTTCCCTAAGCACCTGCACAGCACTCAATAGGCTGCTGCGTGGCCATGCAGCTTACAGGGAACTTAGCCTCTCTCCATTGTGAAAACTGACCATTTATTCCTTCCCTTTGTTACCTATCTTTTAACCAGTTACTGATCCAAGAGAGGACCTTCCCTCTCATCCCATGATTACCTACTTTGTTTAAGAGCCTTTGGTGAGAAACATAGGCGTCGACTCCGTGGGTGCTCCGGGACTGGAGCACCCATGGAAAAAAATAGTGGGTGCTCAGCACCCACCAGCCACAGCTGATCTGGAACGCTGCCAAACAGCTGTTTGGCAGCTGGGGAACGGCTTGGGGGAGGGCGGAGAACGGTGGGCGGAGGACTTGGGGAAGGGACAGAGTGGGAGCAGGAAGAGGTGGAGTGAGGCCCGGCTTTGGGGAACAGGGTGGAGCACCCCCCACAGGAAAAGGAAAAGTCGGCACCTATGGTGAGAGACCTTGTCAAAAGCGTTCTGAAAAGTTCATACACTATATCTACTGGATCCCCCTTGTCCACATGTTTGACACCCTCAAAGAATTCTAGTAGATTGGTGAGGCACGGTTTCTCTTTACAGAAGCCACGTTGACTCTTCCCCAACATATTGCGTTCATCTATGCATCTGATCATTCTGTTTCAACCAACTGCCTGGTACTGAAGTTAGGCTTACCAGCCTGTAATTGCCAGGGCCCCCTCTGGAGCCTTTTTAAAAAAATCTGTATTGCATTGGCCATCCTCCAGTCATCTAGTTCAGAGGCTGATTTAAGTGATAGGTTACATACCACAGTTAATAGTTCTGGAATGTCATATTTGAGTTCCTTCAGAATTCTTGGGTAAATACCATCTGATCCTGGTAACATATTACTCTTTAATTTATGTGTTTGTTCCAAAACCTCTCTACTGCCACATCAGTCTGGGACAGTTCCTCAGATTGGTCACTGAAAAAGGCACGGCTCAGGTATGGGCATCTCCCCACATCCTCTGCAGTAAAGACTAAAGCCAAGAATTAATTTAGCTTCTCTGCAACTGCCTTGTCTTCCTTGAGTGCTCCTTTAGCACCTCAATCATCCACTAGCCCCACTGACTGCTGGGCAGGCTTCCTGTTTCTAATGTACTTAAAAAAATATTTGCTGTTAGTTTTTGTGGCTTCAACCAGCTGCTTTCAAATTCTTTCTTGGCCTGCCTTATTATACTTTTACATTTGACTCGCCAGAGTTTATGCTCCGTTCTCTTTTCCTCGCTGGGATTTGACTTCCAGATTTTAAAGGATGCCTTTTTGACAAACACTTCTACCGTGGATGCAGCTTATCCTGACAAAAACCTGCACTCTTGCTGGGATAGCTTGTTCCAACCTCCCTTCACCACACCCCCTCCTGCGTAAAATACGGTATACTGGCAAAAGTAGAGTTTTGCTGTCTAATTGCATCTATAAAGTCCATAATAATAGACTTTAGCTCACAGGGATATTTTAAAGTTTTATTAGGGTTTGAAGGCTTGGCTCTCCTCTCTGTCTGAATCAGGAGCGACTTCCCTGAAGTTCATGGCATTACACAAGGGTTACATTGGTGTAAATGTGCGGCGAATCAGGCCTGGAGCCTTTCAGATCTTTTGATGAAAGGTGCTCTAGGAGCACAAAGCCACAGGGGGATCAGTATGTCGGTTTCAGACTCGACGTAGAGACGGAATGAGCTAAATGCCGGACGTACATTTCTAGCATCAGCTATTCTATGGCCCTCCAGAGAGTCCTCCATAAAGGTCCCGCACCCACCGCACGCTTTAAATCACACTGCACTGTACAATTGTGAACATTGTTGGAGATCGCATCATACTAATCAAGGCGTCTTGCTTATACTTTATAAATGGACAGACTCGGATCTGGGTCTTCCATCACTGCAGGGTAACACAGGGAGCAGCTATCAGGACAGAGCACCGCGAGCTAAAGGTTTAGAACGAGATGCCAAGAAGATTATTGCATTCGGACGGAGGCGGCTCTCTCAGACGCGCGCCCATGGAAGGTGAGGAGAATTTGCTTCTTGAGGAACTGAGCGAAAATCAGAGGTGGGCCTGTGAATTGTGGTCTATTGTGAGCAGATTTTAAGACGGAGAGTTGGCGGATTTGGAATTTGGTAAATGCAGCATAAATCAACAGCCCCGTGCTTGGAATAGGCGAGACAGGATCTATCAAGGGTAGGTCTACACTTACCTCCGGGTCCGGCGGTAAGCAATCGATCTTCTGGGATCGATTTATCGCGTCTTGTCTAGACGTGATAAATCGATCCCGGATCGATCCCGGAAGTGCTCGCCGTCGACGCCGGTACTCCAGCTCAGCGAGAGGAGTACGCGAAGTCGACGGGGGAGCCTGCCTGCCGCGTCTGGACCCGCGGTAAGTTCAAACTAAGGTACTTTGAATTCAGCTATGTTATTCACGTAGCTGAATTTGCGTACCTTAGTTCGAAGTGGGGGGTTAGTGTGGACCAGGCCAAAGACTACAAACGATTAGGGCCTAAGGTTGCCAACTTTGTGATATTTTAAAGCTGGACACCCTGCCCCTGAGGCCCCACCTGTCTCTTCCCCCAAGACCCCACCCCTTCTCCCAAAGCCCCACCTCTGCCCCCTTCCCTGCCCGCCTCTTCCCCAAGGCTCCAACCCCCATTGGCTCCTCTTTCCTCCTCCCGTCATTGCTGGCAGCTTGTCCCCTCTCTCTCCCTGCTCTGCCTGGGATCTCGCCTGTGGAGCCGGGGCTGGGAGCGGCAGCCGCCCGGCGCAGGTAGGAGGTGGCCCTGGCTGAGTAGGTGATGACTTGGCGCCTCCCCACCTCCCCTGCCTGCAGTTACTGGACTTTGGTGTCCAGTCAGTGGATGTGATCGGACACTGGCAGGTCCCCTTTTCGGGTTCGACTGGGCTTTCCGGGCACCTGGCCACCCTACCTTGGCCTCGGATTCACGTTTCCTCTGAAAGCAGCTGCCGAGCACGGTATTGATGCAGAGGAAGAGCGCCACCTGCTGGATCCCCAGAACTGCTTCCTGTGTCGCCGTCCTGTTCCGTGGAGGTCTCTCGTGCTGCTTCTAGGCCTTGTCCGGCCGCTTTTAGCTGGGAAGAGCTGGCCCGGTTACAGCACAAGGGGGCATGGCTGCGGGCCACGTGAATGTTTGCAAAGAGACGATCTCAAAATACTTTTTCCAGAACAGGAACTAATAAACTGTCAGCAACTCAGAGGCCCAGAAATAGACAAAGGGAAGCAAGTGTCTCTTTCAGGCGAGGATAAGCTGCTTGTTTCAAGGCTTGCGGTGGGATTCGCACCAGGAATCGGAATGCTGGCAGGAGGGGACGAGCCCCCGGGGGTCGCCATCAAAGGGACGGAGTGCTTCAGCGAGAACAGAAGGAAGAGAGATGAAAGAGTCAACTATTTGCAGAGGCTGCGCTGCAGAAAGGCAGCTAATTTCCCCCTCTGTAACAAGCCAGGGCTCCGGGGAATGAAAAGCCTTTGTAGAGGTAACCTGAGCACCCTCGCTTCAGGAAATCAGCCAGCAACCCCACACAGCGGGAATGTACTCGGGTAGCTTTACAGACACTAGCGACCGGCGTTTCAGCCTAACCTTTCTATTCAGGTTAGTAAGAGGAGGAGTATGGCAGTAGCGCCTAGTAGTGCCAGTCATGTGCTCGGTGCTGTACAAACACAGAACAAACAGGCAGCCCCTGCCCCATAGATCTTACAGCGTAAGGGTCTTGTCACCGTGGGATCCGAGCACGTGACACAGCTAGCAATGCAGGACCCCATGCAACTGCATCATACACGCTTCTCTCCAACACGCTCCAAGAACATTATGACGGACTCAGAGAAGGGCGTCCCAGCGCCTCACGCTTCGACTCTACATGGATGAAGCAGGCAAATGGCTCTTTCCCCCACCTGATGTCCATGCACAACCAGAGCAGCCGTGACACAGCTTCATCTTCATTCCTCCAGAGCACAGGTAAACTGAGACCTCCCTCTGGGCTGGAGTTTGCTGGGGCTTATGCCAATGTAATCTGGGGCAACTGCACTGAAGTCAAAAAGGGCTGGCTCTGGGTTTGCATAGGAGTCTCTGAGATGAGAATCTGTGTGTGTGTGTGTGTGTCTCTCTGGTGGTTCGTCATTAAGTTCCAAGGACACAGCGCTTTGGCCTGCAGCCTCACCATCTCTGCATAGAGCAAAGCACGTCTGGTTCTTAAGAAGACCCTTCAGTCTTGTCTAGATGGGGACACCCAGTAAAAGTTAATTCAGATTAATTTTCAAAGTGGATTAATTAAACCTCAAACCCCTGTCTGGACACTCTCATTTGGCATTAAAGTGGCTTTAGGAACATTAATCCAAATTAACTGAAGGGGTGAATTCAAAGCAGATTAGTTACTAATTACTAGTAACTAGGTGAATTCACACCTTCTGTTTATTTGGATTCACTCTCTGAAGTGTCCCCGTGTAGACAAGTCCTTCGTTCAGTCTGATTTCACACAAAGCAAGGCCACCAAGAACTTATGAAGCAAATCTGGGAAAAGGCACCACTGTCTGCACTGTAATTACTGGTTCATCCTGGCCAAGAGAAACCAAAAAGTACTCAGGAGATTTCCAGGTCAATTTCAAGATGAGTGAGCTTCTGAAAGTCCTTGAGTAAACAACTGATCTTCCTTGAGTAAACAACTGATCTTCAGCGTAGCCATGTTCCAGGTGGTTTGTCCAACCGTAGTCAGAATGTCCAGTCACTTTAATCCAGATCCCATTAGCGGAACATTCTCGTATGTTTTACCTTTTGCATCAAGGAGTTGAGATCTCTGTAATTACATTAATACAGTTCTGACATCACAAATCATAGAATCATGGAAGATTAGGATTGGAAGGGACCTCAGGAGGTCATCTAGTCCAACCCCCTGTTCAAAGTAGGACCAACACCAACTAAATCATCCCAGCCAGGGCTTTGTCAAGCCGGGCCTTAAAAACCTCTAAGGATGGAGATTCCACCACCTCCCTAGGGAACCCATTCCAGTGCTTCCCCACCCTCCTAGTGAAATAGCGTTTCCTAATATCCAACCTAGACCTCCCCCACTGCAACTTGAGACCATTGCTCCTTGTTCCGTCATCTGCCACCACTGAGAACAGCCGAGCTCCATCCTCTTTGGAACCCCTCTTCAGGTAGTTGAAAGCAGCTATCAAATCCCCCCTCACTCTTCTCTTCTGCAGACTAAACAAGCCCAGTTCCTTCAGCCTCTCCTCATCAGGCATCAAGTCTCCTTTCCATCTCGGGACCTGCCTTCCTTCCAATCTGAACTGCAGGCAGAGACGGCCACTGTGGGGAAAACCCCAGTATACCTCAGAAAGGTCTGGAGGCAGAAGGGCATCAGGCACACAGGCTGGGATTTCAAAGGTGCCTAAGGGAGTTAGGTGCTGAACTTTCACTGAATTCCAATGGATTGGGGTACCTAAGTAGAGATGGGTGAATGACTGATTTTTCAGTTTGGCCAGCAAACTGAATATTCAGTTTGGGTCCAGAAATGTTTGGTGCGTGTCAGCAAACTGGAAGAGCGCATGTCAAGCCAGCAAACATCTTGGATATGTCTGCACTGCACTAAAACACCTGCGGTGCTGAGTTGCAGTGGAGACATTTGGGCTTGGGCTGGAGCCCAGGTTCTGAGACCCACTCCCCTCCCAAGGTTTCAGAGTCCAGGCTCCAGGCTGAGCCCAAATGTCTCCACTGCAAGTTTTAGTCGTGCAGCCCGAGCAACCTGACCCAGGCCAGCCGCAGGTCTTCTATTGTAGTGCAGACATCCCCCATGTGACCATCAGCCAAGTAGGTAGGACACTTGCCTGCAATGCTGGACAGCCAGACTTGAATCTCCACTCAGGAGCAAGGGCTAGAACGTGAAATCATCCCCCTGCCATGTGAGGCTGTTTGGGGGAGGATGAGTTCTCACTCTCCTGTCAAAGTTTCAGAGTAGCAGCCGTGTTAGTCTGTATCCGCAAAAAGAACAGGAGTACTTCTGGCACCTTAGAGACTAACAAATTTATCTCCTCAATATTTATTCCACTCTGTATGCATCCGAAGAAGTGGGCTGTAGTCCACGAAAGCTTATGCTCTAATAAATTTGTTAGTCTCTAAGGTGCCACAAGTACTCCTGTTCTTTCTCCTGTCAAAGCTGTCCCACTGTGAATACAGCCCTGGGGCCAGCCAGAGCCACTCTGTAACCTGATGATTAAAGCATTCACCTGGGAAGTAGGCACTGTGGTCAACTCCCGCCTCCGAATCAGACAGAGAGAAGATTGGAACCCACAGCGTCTACCTCCGAGGTGAGCGCCTCCATCACCAGTCTACAGGGTCCTTCTTTCGTTCATTGGCCCAATGACGAGGTAAGGAGTTATGAAAAGTTGACCAGCAGGAGCACTGGAGAGCAGAATCGCCTATGGCCTGGTGGTGCGGGCCCTCAGCTGCTAAGAGGGAGACCTCAGTTCAACTCCTTGCTCCTCTGATGGCCCTGGCTATCTCCTTAGGGAAGGAGAAGAAGTCAAGCTGGGGAACTAACCATACTTTCTAGACGAGACAGATGTGGGAAGTAGGGTGACCAGATGTCCTGATTTTGTAGGGACAGTCCCGATTTTTGGGGTCTTTTTCTTATATAGGTTCCTACTTACCCCCCCCCCATCCCGGTTTTTCACATTTGCTGTCTGGTCCTACTGGGAAGCAAGGGCAGGTGGTCTGTTCCGCTCATCCAAAAATCAATCCAGACACTGCTTGCGGGGGCAAAGGAGGGGGAAAGTCTGGCGTGGAAGCAGCTCGGTGGGGATGACAGGGACTCCTAATTAAACCCCCCCAGCGTGAAACCAGCAGCAGGGCCACAGAGGCTCTTTGCCTCCAAACTGCTCGGCTATAAAAAGGTTTCCTAGCTGGGAAAGGAATCCTGGAAAGGTTCAGCATGAGGCAGGGTGTTAATAGAGAACCGGGCACCGGCCTGCAACGTAAGTCAAGAGAGATGTGATGCTGGAGTGCAGACAGTATAAACAGCCCAGGTGGCGCTGGGGAACGCGGGAGGCAGCGACACTAACCAGAACACTGCCGGCCGTTTGAAGTTCCCTAAAGAAGTGGTGCCAAGGCAGCTGTTGTAAACCTCCGATCGCTCCTGCGTGGGTTTCCAGAACCCTTCACGCTCCGGTCTGACCTCGAGCCTGAAAGCAGAGGAGAGCTTGAGCGCTCTGACATGCAACCTCCGCTTCTACCGCGCTGTCAGAACTTTGGCCCCATCCCCGACCTCGCCCTCCGCGCGAGCGGCACGCGGCAAACGCAAAATAATTCCTGTGTGCGCACATACATTTTTTTTTTTTTTAGATGCACGGCTAGACAGAAGCAAAACATGCGGGAGACGCCGCAAGAAAAATAAAAGCCACACTAGCTAATGTCGGAGCCTGGGTCAAGTGACTTGCGCTTGCAGGTCTCACGCTAATGGGATAAAAAAAGCAGTGAAGATGTTCGGGTTTGGGCTGGAGCCTGGATTCTGAAATGCAGAGAAGGGGGAAGACCTCAGAGCCCGGGCTCCAGCCTGAACCTAAAAGCCCACAGTGCGGTATTTTTAGCCCCATAGCGCGAGTCCTGTGAGCACGAGTCAGCTGACCCAGTGAGTCAGTGAGACTCACTGCCCCAGGTGTTCTTATTTTTTTTTGCAGTGTGTACGTACCCTTGATCTGCCCATTTGGCAAGCGGGAAGGTAAAGGCCCCTGTTTTATTTCACATCCATAAAATGTTAGGAGAAATATTGCAGGCAAACAGCAGCGCCGCGGGGAAGGATCTGGTTTTTTGCTTTGTTCCTCATGCTCTTCTGGGTTCAATCTGTCTATAAAGGAGAGGCTGTCAAGATGTTTAGGGGTGACCCAGAATATAGGGTTTAAACAGTTTTGCAAAGCCTAATATCAAAGGAATTGTTTTCTGTTATTTTATGTCTTAATGTTTGAGGGGTGGAGACATCCCCATGAGGTCCCCGGGAATGCCAGGCTAATGCAGCATGCCGCCAACTCTCATCCGATAGACCCGTGTTTCTCAACCTTTTTGATACCAGGAACAGGCTTGCTGCCTTCCTAAACTGTGTCAGTGAGATCTCAGGGACCGGTGTTGGTCCACGGACTGGTCGTTGAGCAACCCTGCTCTGGAGCGTTTCAGAAAGCAGATACTTCTCACGGATCCTGCTTCTCCGCCAAACCCCCTATTTCTGTGGGCCACAGGAACTGGCAGACTGGAGCAGAGCCGAGGTCCAGCTAGCCCAGTAGCGTGTCTCTGAAAGTGGCCAGTGCCAGATTCTCCGGAAGAAGATGTAAGACACCTTGCAGGGTAGGTGGATTAAACCGTCCGCAGGGAAGTCTCGTCCTGACCCTTGATTGTTAGAGGTTGGCTTACACCCTGAAGCATGAGGTGTTATCTCCCTTCCAACACTGTGGGTTTTTAAAGCAATGACTGTGATAACTGGATATTCTGGAAGATCTCTGCATATTCCTAGGTCTCCATCGACCAAACTTTCAGGACCACTGTGCCGGGGTGAAAGTAAAATGCAGATCTTACCGGTATGAGGTCACTCTGCCCCCCCCCCAAGGGGCGGGGCCTCGGCCGGAGGGGCGGGGCTAGGAGGTCAGTGTCCCCCAGCCAGTCCATCTGCGCTCCCTGGCCCATGCTGCCTGGGGCTCCAGCAGCAATTTAAAGGACCCGGGGCTCTGGCTGCAGCAGCCGGAGCCCCAGGCCCTTTTAAATCGCGGCCCGGGGACAGCTACTTCGGCGGCCGGGGGGGGGGGCAAAAGGGGCAGCACTTTAATGTCACTGTCCCTTTTGCGCCCCCTGTCAGTGGCCCTGCTGGTAGGGACCTGGCAGAGCCGCCAATCGGGGGTGCAAAAGGGGCAGTGGCTACCTTTTACCGGTACGCCGTACCAGCCCGTACCCCCTTACTTTCACCCCTGCCACTGTGAGAGTGTAACAGTGACAGACCCCGGTCAGGGGACAGGATCGAACCTGGGACCTCTGGGCATGAGCCTCTACTGCATGAACTAAAAGCCATGTGCCTCTTAGCTAAGACTGGAGCAGACTCATTAATCGCTTTCTAAGTGGTCTCGGTGCCACTCGATGGGCCAGAGCACCGCCCCCAGGAGGTGTGTGGGTTACAAGAGCACCTCTGAAATTCATTCTCCAAGCTGCACAACGTCCAAGAGCAATGGGAGAACATAGGCATCGACACTGGGAATGCTCGGGGGCTGGCGCACCCATGAAAAGACATAGTGGTTTTCAGCACCCACCCACCACCTGCTGATCAGCTGTTTTGTGGTGGGTGGGACTTGGGAGGCGCTTGGGGGAGGAGGCTGAGCAAGGGCGGACAGAGGTGGGGCAAGTGTGGGGCCTTGGGGTAGGGGCGGAACGGGGGCAGCGCCTCAGGACAAAGTTCAGGTGGGGCATCCACCTGGAAAAATGAAAGTCAGCGCCTGGGTGGGAGAAAGTCAATTAGATCCTGAAATCTCCTTGTTTTAAAAACTGGCAGCAGCATCACAGGACAGGGGAGAGTTTCTTTTTATATTGGCAATGTCCCGTGAAGCCAGGATATATTCAGGGCGCGGTAGTAACAACTTAGCTCCCGATTCTGCAAGCCTTCCTCGCAGCCAGGTCAAGAAGACTGTTTGCATAAAGGCTGCAGAATCCGGGCCCTTGGTCTTCCTCCCACCTGGGGCAGCGGGAGGTTGCAGCATTGCAGTGGTGTTTTCATGCCACCCTTCCAAATTATTTTGGACCGCTAATTCCTCGTCCTGACAGATTGATAACAAACAGCTGAAAGGAACGTTGCCGAAGGATGGGCTTGAAAGGGTGTCCAATCAACCTGCATCCACGGTGAGGCAGCATGGTCTAATGGATAGTTCTGGC